GTATAATAAATATATATATATATATATATATATATTCTTTCTTAAAATTGTATTTATACTACTTGTCTTTCTACTCATATACTTTCTAGTCAATTAGAATACATATATTATTTCTTTCTCTTAGTTAATATTTTTTCTTCTAAATAATTAGAGTGTATATTCTTTAAAGAGATTATAATTAATATATTTTCCGTATGATGTAATTATAACTTGTTATATAAATTTGTTGGCTTTTTTTTACTAACATTCATAAAAATTGATATTAATCATAATTTTCAGAAACCACTTTAGTATTTTTTCCCTTTCCATGTTTGAAGATGAATTGTGGTGATGGCAATTAATGCAGGTCATTATTGAGTTGCTTGTGTCCAAGTTTTGGAGGATTGGCGAATGTGGGTGTGTGTCTCCTAAAGCTTCCAATTCGAGTTCTTAGATGGTTCATTGATAAGATTCCTTGCTAGGGTTTATATTTTTGTACCTTTTTCTTTTCTTAGTAATTTATTAGTTTCACTCGTTTGGAGTACTTATTCAGGGACTAGCCTAATTTATGATTCAACTTAATTGAATATGAATTCATATTAATTGCTTCATTCTTTTAAGAGAAATCCTAATATTCTTTTAATTCTCTTTCTAATATATATTCTGTTTTGGTTATTATGGAAAATCTACGAGGGTCTTATTAAATATAGAATCTCAATTTTTTATTTGGTAGATTTTATTTTAAAACTAGTGAAATTCATATCAATTTCAACCGTCAGAAAGGTATGTGAGAAAAATTGTTTTAAAGAATATAATCGCTTGGTTCTTTTTACATCAAAAGTAAATAGAATGTTTTGTTTGGTGAATCTAAATTCCTTTACCTTCTAATAACTACCCATAATTAATTAATCGATTGGATTCTCCGAATAAATTATCGTTTTCAAACAATTTGACATTGGATTAACTTTTGAATTTGGATCCTCTCTATATTTAGAATATTAATAAAGATCTAGCTTTTCTATAGGAAAGAAATTTCACTTTTAAAATAATGGGTAATAATAACTGTTAATTAAAAAAAATATGATAAATATTATAATTAATTTTAAATTTTATTATATATATAATTTTATTATAATTATCTACTTTTGTATTTTTACTCAATAATTTTGAGTGTATCTTATCTTTTAAACTACAGTCCTTCATTTTAAATGAGCTAAATTCTTAAAATAACTTTTATCTAATTAAATTATCGTTAAAATGAATTTTTAATCGTTATTAATTTTACTTATTTTACTTTTTATTTCTTATAATTAAAAATAAATATTTTTAATGTTTTAATCTTTTTAATTTCTATTGTTAATTTTTTTAATATTATCTATTTTATGTTAATGCGATAAATATATTAATTCAATTTTATATCACGTTAATACAAAAAAGATAATGTTACAAAAAAATTTAATGATAGAGACTAAAATAAAAAAAAAATAAAAAATATAGAAATTAAAAAGATGTCACAATGAGTACTTCTATGACTTTATTTTATCTTATATAAATAATTAATATCAGCTAATCAATTTTTTTAATTAGAAATAATCAATACAAAATTATTTTATCAACAATATCATCAGTTTGAATTCCTTGTTATATAATGAATGGATGAGAGAATTGAGAGAGTTAAACAATTGAATAATGAATATATGTATATATTGTTGCTTGAAAATAATTGAAGAACAATTTCAAGACAATCAAATAATTAATTGAACACAATTTATGGTTGAGAATGTTTCATTTATGATTAATATGACATGTATCATTTGTATAAATATGTTTTATGTGAGGTATCGATCTTGAATCTAGTATCGAGAAAACTTTTTAATAATCAATGTATTTGGATCTTAAAAGTCAACTAGGTTTAGGAATCTCAATCATACAATTCTATGTTGAGTATGAGTGGACTTAATTTGACATCACTAATCATCAAATGACATTATTTACTGACATATACTCTTAAATTATTCTATACATTTTTAAGTGACATGTTTTTGGAATGATGTTTATATACATAATTTTCATTTGAACATGATATATTGTATAGTTATAATTGTAAATATCTCTTAAATGCAGTTGAATATACTCTCTTCATTTTTTTTTCATAGTCGTTTTGTTAGAGTTTGTTATTTTTTTTTTCATTGTCATATTACTAAAATCAATGAGTTATTAATTTTTTTCTTCCATCTTTACCCTTGATAATTAATACATGTTTCCTGAACAATGTGTGTATTTATTTTTAATGTCTACCTAATTTTTCTCCAACTACTCATATAAAGTTAATGTGCATTTATAAGAGCAATATGTTCCCAACAAAATACTATAAAAAAACAAAAAAAGGGACAACTATTTAATGGAGTAGTTCAACAGTCTAAAAAATGCAAAAAAAAGGTAAAATTGGAAAGTAAATAATAAATATTTTTGAAAATTAAAATATCAATGATTTCCTTAAGTCTCGTGCAAAACCTTAAACGACTATGAAAAAAAACGGAAGGAGTAATATACTTTATTAATATTGTGATATTTCAAGTTGTTTAATCTTATTTCACGATATGAATGAGATGTATCTAACCCTCTTTTCAAGTTATTTTTGTTTTTATTTAAATAGTTAGAAGTCAATGTGATTAATAAAACTTGATCTACTTGTTATGTCTTTGAGTGTTACACTTTTTTCTTTTTATAGAAAAAATAATACAGTTGGATTATTTATTTCAATTAGCTTTTATGTTTCATTATACTATAGTTGTAAGTGGTCTACCTTGCACATTGTTAAAAACTGTTAGATTTATCTCATACAAAATAAGACCATACACCCTTTATAATTTGTACCATATTTGCTTTCCTTCGTTCTTCCGTCTCTCCTCCTCCTAAGTAATAAACACAGAAAAATCTTCAAACTCTTCTCCATGCAAATATGCAAATGCCATCCAAAATGAGACTTTATCCAAAGGCCTCAAAAGAAAAAGGGTATACACCTAATGAGTATTGCATCAAACTATAATTATGTTTTTATTAGAAGTCTTCTTGTTGTATTTACATCAGTATATACACACATATGATGAGTTCACACTAATTAACTAATTACAAAGTAACTAATTCTAATAAAATAAAAGAAAAAAAAATCTAATCAACTGTTACATGGTTAACAAGTTAATTTGTGTTAAGAAACAAGCTAATGCTCTAGCTCATTCTTTAGTAAAGGCAGCAAAATTTTATGCTGATCTACTTTTCAACTTGTATTCATGACTCTATTATTACATGAAATGCAATGAGTTTCTTCAGTAAAATCTAAATAAAAAATTCTACAGGCTATTTATTAAATTTGAAGAAATGACTTATAATTGAGATTATTTTTTTAATTTATAAATGAGTCATCTTAAATTATTATTTTTATATAAAATCAAATGATTTTTTTACAAGTAAAACCTTTAATTTAATTCCTATAAAAATAATTAAAAGGACTGTTTATACGAATTTAAGTGTACATTTTATTTACATCAAAATTAATTATATATATAGAATAAAAATTAAAACAAACAAACACAAATTCATGTACAATCGGAATTAATTTTTTAAAATTAAATATGAATTGCAATTCATCCCATTACATTATTTTATTAATTGAATTTTTATTTTTATATTACTAAAATATTTTCTAGAAATAATTAATTTTCATAATTAATTAATTTTTACATCATCTTTTCTGTACATAGTATTAGTGTATAAAATAAAAAAAAAAGGGAATATATTTTTTGTTAGCCTTTTTACTTTTTGCATTCTGTTACAATTTCAGAAAATTTTAGGGACACCTGTCCTTTATTTTCTCTCTGTTGTTGCTTTTACATCTGCTACTTTTACAACTGTATTACTCCTTTATTTTCTCTCTTTGCTGTTGCTTTTACAACTGTATTACTGAAGAGTTTCCTATATATATTTGATCTCGTGTATTCATTGTGTGAGTAATGAAGTTTCTCTTTACATCTTTATCTCTTTCTACTTTTATCTAATATGGTATCAAGAGCCTTTGATCCTTCGGAACCCTAATTCTTCTTCTTCATCTCCTCTATGATGACGCCAAATAATCCTTCTTCTTTTTCACAATTTTTCTCCAACTCCATAGCTAAAAAACTTGATGATATTCAAACTATCTTCATTGGAGGCAGCAAATTGAACCGGCCCTGAAGTCCCATAAACTTCAACGATTTGTGGTTAATCCTCAAATTCCACCTAGGTATTTGATAGATGTTGATCGTGATTCAGATACAGTTAATCCAGCACATGAAGCTTGGGAAGTCCAAGACCAAATAATGCTCCTCACATGGCTGCAATCGACGCTCTCGAAGACCATCTTTTCACGTGTCATTGGCTCAGTTCATTCTTATCAGGTGTGGGACAAAGTTTGTGAGTATTTTAACACTCAAACTAAAGCACGAGCATGTCAGCTCCGCACTGATTTGCATTTATCACTCTTGATGGTAAATCCATGCGTGACTTTTTGACTCAAATCAAAAACATTGCTGATGAACTTGTTGGAGTTGGAAGTCCTGTGTCACTTGAAGAATATGTTGATGTTGTTCTTGAAGGTCTGCCACAAGAGTATGCACCTGTGGTCTTTGTTATTGAAAGTAAGTTCATCACCCCTCCTATTGCTGAAGTGGAAGTTCTTCTCCTTGCCTATGAGTCAAGATCTAATAGGTTCCGTAAGCAATCTTTCTCTCCTTCCATTAATTACACTCAAGGTTATTCTCGTGGGGGTGTTAGTAGTGGATCTTTTAGAGATCGAGGTGGTGGTAACAGTGGGTATCGCGGTGTTAGAGGTTCTGGAAGAGGCCGTGGTAGTCGATTTGGAAATTTTCAATGTTAGATTTGCTTCATGCATGGACACACTGCCAATATTTGCTTCTATAGAGCTTATGGCAATTATCAACTTGCAGACTCCCTTGTCTTGTATAATCCCACCACACTACAACCTGTGCAGGTCACCTCTTCATCAAACATTAATGCCTCCTTACCTTTGCAATTTTATGATTTTGCTTTTACCACTATAGTTTATCTTATTAATAGATTACCAACTGTAGCATTAAATTTTAATGTTTCTTTCACTGTTTTATTCAATAAATCACCTGATTACAAATTCTTAAGAACATTTGGTTGTGCTTGTTTTCCTTTCTTAAGACCATATGCTAGTCATAAACTTCATTTAAGATCTCAGGAGTGTGTTTTTCTGGGATACTCTAACTCTCACAAAGGTTATAAATGCTTATCCTCTTTTGGCAGAATTTACATTTCAAAAGATGTTATTTTTAATGAACATAGGTTTCCTTATTTAGATATGTTTCAACCAAGTCGTACTCAAAATATGTTTCCTTGTCAATACTTCACTCTCAATCCGAATTTGTCTCCTCCCTACACTAATCCTCCTGTTTTTTCACAATAGCCTCCTCTATCTTTTCAAAACAGTGATCCAGGTGTCTCAAACAATCGCATAGTGTCCTTTTCACATAATGTGTGTCATTCATCTAATGAGTCTTCCTCACATAATGTATTTTCTCCTGCCTCTTCCACTAATACAAATAATGTTCCTAGAACCATTAATAATCATCACATGCAAATCTGTTCTAAATCTAGATTTCATAATCCTCGACTACATCCATCCTTATTTTTACTTCACTTGTAATTTTATTTTATTTATTATTATTTGAATTATTTAAAATTTTAAATTATTAAAATGTATATAAAAATAGTTTTCTAATAATAAATATATCTGATTAAAAAGATCTAAAAATAATTAAATTTTATATATTAAATACAATTTTTTTTATCTTGCATTAAAATGTTTTTTTAATAAATTTTGACAGAAAGATTTTTTATACTTTTTACAATATTTATCTAATTAAAATTTTATTTATTATAATTATTTATAAATTAAATTTTAATATTTTTAAAATAAATTATCAATAAATAAAAATAAAAATATATAAACTATTTATCATAAATTTAAAATATGATTTATATATTAAAAATATCTATTTATAAATTTTTTAAATAAATATATAATAATAATTTATACATAAAATTTATTATAAATTATAATTATGTATAATAAATATTTAGTTTTTGTATTTCAAACACTAAATATTAATATTTTTTTTAGAAATTTAATTATTGAAAATACAAAATTATTCCTTGAACAAAGACAATTTACACCAATAATGAGTTTCTGAAAGAGCCTAGAAAGAGAAAATCAACGGCAAGCGAGTAGTTTCTGGAACGTTCCACAATGATCGAGATGCTACACATGTAGAACACTAACTTCAAAACACCTCATGATTTAAACATCCTACCACACAACATCATCATCAGCCTCAAACTCCAAGCACAAGTTCATTGAGTTGTATGTGAGACAGAACATAATATAGCAGAAGGTGCATAACAAACGCAAAACTGAAGAGAAAGAGAGTAGAAGAACAAACACCACCAAATATGGGTGTTGATTATTACAAGATCTTGCAGGTTGATAAGAACGCCAGCGATGATGACTTGAAGAAAGCTTACAGAAAACTTGCTATGAAATGGCACCCTGATAAGAACCCCAACAACAAAAAAGAAGCTGAAGCTAAGTTTAAGCAGATTTCCGAAGCATACGAGGTATGATTTCATAAGGGTGTTTTAAATTTTTGAGCTTTTTGAGGAATTAGGGGTGAAATAGTGAAGCTTTATGAAATATATCATGTGGGTTTTGGTTTCTTCTGTTTCTCCTATTGTGATTCCTGTGTTTTTCTCATAAAGGTGTGACAAATTTTTTAGCTTTTTTTTCTGAAATTATCAGTGAAATTGTGCAACTCGATGAAATATTTCACATGGGTGACCGGTGATGCTTACATCATTTTCATTTATTGTGATTCCAGTGTTTCCCCTCAGGGGTGTTGCAGATTTTGAGTGTTTTTTTTTCTTCTGAAATTAGGAGTGAAATAATGAAACTGGATAAAATATTTTATCTGGATGGATGATTCTTCTCCTCCTACTGTGATTCCAATGTTTTTGTACAAGAGTATTGCAATTTTTATAGCTTTTCTGAAATTAGGAGTGTAATAGTTTCATCTTTTATCGTGATTTCGAATGTTTTTCCACAAAGGGTATTGCCAAATTTTGGGCTTTTTAAAAAAAAGAATAAATTTAGGAGTGAAATAACGGAATCTACAAGGGTATTGAAAATTTTTAAGCTTTTTCTGTAATTAGGAGTGAAATAATTCGTCTTCCATTGTGATTTCGGATGTTTTTCCACATGGGTGTTGCAAAATTTTGAGCTTTTTCTAATGAAGAGATTTGTCTGGGGCAATGATACTTACTATGTTTCTGTTGTGATTGTTGAAGGTGCTTAGTGATCCTCAGAAGAGAGCTATCTATGATCAATACGGAGAAGAGGGCCTGAAGGGTCAGGTTCCTCCTCCTGATGCTGGTGGTGCTGGAACGACTTACTTCTCCACAGGAGATATGCCGGGATCGTTCCGGTTCAATCCAAGGAATGCTGATGACATTTTTGCAGAGTTTTTTGGGTTCTCAAGCCCATTTGGTGGAATGGGTGGGAGAGGTGGTGGTGGAGGCATGAGATCAAGGTTCCGTGGAGGTATGTTTGGTGATGATATGTTTGCCTCTTTTGGGGAAGGAGGAGGAGTACATATGAGTCAAGGTGCACCTCGAAAAGCTCCTCCAATTGAAAACAAATTGCCCTGCACTCTCGAGGAGATATATAAAGGGACTACAAAGAAGATGAAGATCTCTAGAGAAATTGCTGATGCCAGTGGGTGAGTAGATGCTATTGTCTCGCTATTTCTTTTTGTTTTCTTAGATTTGGTTATTGTATATGTGATTGTGATATGATCTCTAATATAAGTATGTTTGATTACAAGCCTAGAATGGTTTTTAACAGGAACAAAACTTAGGTAAAGTTGGTGTTGTTATCCAATCAGAATTGGAGTTTTTTCTTGATAGTATGTACTTGCATTCAGTAAATCTCATCTCATGAATATACATTTATGCATATTATCGAGGTAAAACTCTTATTTTGATTATAGATCAATACCAATTGCACCTAAGTTTTATCCTTCTAAGAGCTTCTCTATTAGAAAATACTTCTTATTTTTAATAGAGAAATTTTCAAAAGTTCTTTCAGGCTATATCCAAACATGCTCTATGTCAATTTTGTGCTTGGCTGAAATGGTTGATGTTTTAATTCAGTGATACGTAAAAGCATATATGGATCCAGTAAGGAGAAACTAACTGATCCCAAAACATGACTGCAGTCTGTTATTTTGTTTTACTTTGTTTATGTTGAGTGATTTCCTTTGTTTTATAGTAGGTAGATATATTTCATCTTCTGTGTGCAATGTTCAAGCCTTGATTGATAGGTGTGTTACTTTCCACAATGGACAATGCATAAACTGTCTTTTTGTTAGTGCCAGTTGCTTCTTTGTTTGCAGAAGAAAATTGCCTATTACTCTTTCTAATTATTTTAGTAGTTAAGTGAATATTAGATACTTTGTACTTTGAAACAACTTGCTATATTATACTTCCTACCCTGTAAAGTTTGTACACCCTCTCATCTTTGTGTTCAAGACATTCTTTAATTGTTTACTGATGGTTTAGAATTGAATTGGAGCAATGTATTAATTGCCAAAAAGGCATTGCCTTTGGTTTCTTGATGTAGAAAACTCTATAGGTTTTAACTTCTAATTCTAAGTCTAAAACAAAAATTGTTTGTTACCAGTTGACACTTAGCTATTTAATATTGGTCTGTGAGTGTTAGGCATTAGACAGATGGTGAGGTGGATGTTCAGTTGGTGTTTTATTTCAATTCATTACATGTTTTTGGTTTGCATGGAATTAATGGAATTTAAACTTAAAATGATAAAGTTTATTGATCTAACAAAGTAGTTGCTTCGCAAAGTGCTGCATTAAGATCTTATACTCATGCTAACATGGCAAATTCATGTATAAATCCTTGTGTGGTAGAGTGTTGTCTCTTTTTAGGATCTTATAAGCAATGCCTTTACATATTGTCAGAACTAAACTTGTATAGTTTATCCATATTGTCAGAACTAAACTTGTATAGTTTATCCAGCTTGACCTAGAACTAGAAATTTTCCTCAGTACAATATATTTTCCTTTGGATGTGTATTTCCTCTAATTTAATTACTGGCATTAAGGATTCTAGTAAAATTTATTAGATGTTTGACTAAATTTAGAACAGTACACATAACTTCTATTCCCTAAACCTTTGATAACCAAAGGTTTCTAAAATTTTCTTATATACACATAATCTTCTTGAATGAAATTGTGGTATGTGGGAGGATAACTTCAATGTGCATTCAGAATGATCACTTGATTTTCATTCTGTCTCTAACTGAATATTGACTCATTCTCTTTCCTTGTGGTGCAGCCAAACCATGCCGGTGGAGGAGATCTTAACCATTAATGTCAAGCCAGGTTGGAAAAAGGGAACAAAGATCACCTTCCCTGAAAAGGGCAATGAACAACCAAATGTGACACCTGCTGACCTAGTTTTCATCATCGATGAAAAACCGCATGGTGTCTTCACTCGTGACGGAAATGACCTTGTGGCCACCCAGAAGATTTCTCTTGCAGAGGCCTTAACTGGTTATACAGTGCACCTCACTACCCTGGATGGTAGAAACTTAACCATACCAATCAACAATGTTATTCATCCCAATTATGAAGAGGTTGTCCCAAGAGAAGGAATGCCACTTCCAAAGGATCCATCAAAGAAGGGCAACTTAAGGATAAAGTTCAACATCAAGTTCCCAACAAGACTCACTGATGAACAGAAATCAGGAATCAGGAAACTCTTGGCTCCCTAACCTTGAGATTAGATATACATTGATGATAATGATGTTGTACTTGTCATATTTCTCATGGGAGCTACTTTTAATGGATGTGTAAGTTGTTTTTTTTGCAAAGATCAGAAGATGTAAGATATACCAATAAATTTGGTTGTTTCTATATGTATTGTAACTTAGTGAAAACAATTTTGATTTGATTCTTTTGTCTGGTTTATCAGTTGATTTGCAGAGTTTTAAAATTCTTGTTAATTAGTTACCCTTGCAAGTTCGAAATGTTTAGTACCAAGGAAATGATTCTTATACCAATTTAACTTTACATGTAGTGTATTTTCAGAAAGGACCTATAGCAATCAAAATTATGTAAATTAAACTCTTATAAGTTAACAGATTAAAATTGATTACCCTCAGGAAATAGTTTCGATTTTTCTAAAGAAAATTGTGTAGTTATGGACAAGAAAACATTAAAATGAATTGTTTAAATGTTGATAAGGAAGTTAACTTTGGATACGAATAGTGGAAACATCAATGATTACTTTCTTTATTAATGATTGAAATTATATATTTTTATGGGTAATACTGTCCATCCAAAAAACAATTATACACCAGTTTTGTATCTTTTTTTTTTTTTTCTCTCTTCTATAGGATAATATATCTTTATATTATAAATAAAATTGTGGAGAGATAAATGAAGAAATAATAATATATAAGTTTATATAATTTTTATTGTAATATTTCTCAATTTTTATTCATACTCACTCTAAAGCAGATTCTCCATATTTATACCAAATATTACAGGCAATTTGCAGCTGCAGAGTCAATTGTAAATAACGATCAAATATAATTGTTGGCTAATAAAACTTTCTAATCTATTGATGTGTTACGTAAACTTCAGCTAAGATTTAAGTTCCTCTAAGGCTCTAACAATAAAAGTATTGTTAAACTATTAAGTTTTTTAACTCTAATTTTTCTATTGGATATATGATTATATAATTTTTTTAACCTAGTTATTATTTCAAGATTGTTACAAATGGTTATTCGGTTTCAAGCAATCAAAAATTAATCCTAAGACTTACTTTTTAGTTTAAAGACTTAAAAAAAATTAGTTTAGAAAAACTTATTTTAATTTTTTAAAATAACTCAGACATGTTTAGTAATTTAACCTAAAAGCTAACAACATACTATTTAATATAATATATTAAGTACACTTTTGACTGTTCACCTGAATTTGTCGAAATTATTTATTATAAATTTCACTTTTTTAGTAAGTGTCTTGTAATTTTAAGGTTCTTAAAAAATTTGAACCATTAAATTTTAATAAATAAATTTTAAGAAGTGTATCGCGAGTTTTTTTTTACTCAAATAATACTATTTTAAAAAAAAATTACCCAAATAGCAACGGTGTAAATTTATTTTCCCAACTAGTACTGTTTATTGTTCAAGTTCGGAACGGGTCGTTCTGAAATCAGAACGGACCGTTCCAGATTAAAAAATAACACATGAAAAATGGATCAGGGCCGTTCCAAAATCAAAATTAGCACATAAAAAGTGAAACCAGAACGGGCCATTCTGCAAGCAAAACAGGCTACAGAACGGCCCATTCTGACCTTCAAATAATTTTTTTTTATTCTCACTTATCAAATACCAAAACTCAGAAACTAACATCAAATAATTAAATTTATTGAATATTAGCATTATAAATATATTTAAATAAATTTATTAAAATTCAATACAACAATAAAGATCAATGGTAGCAGAAACTGATTATGTTGTTCTCTAATGTCCATCTCTGTTTTAATCTTGCTAGATTTTGGCCGACCTTTAAAAGTTTGCTTGAGTTCTGGATTTGGCCACAAAGTTGGACCAATGTAAGTAAGCCAATAATCTTCATGTCGGAGCTCTCCAAACTGTCCTTCGTATGCTTTTGTGGAACTTGCCGCAATCATACCACATTTCATTTAGCCTTATGTAAATCTTCCAGCGGGTCAAACTTTTCTCGAATGCTGCGTTTCTTTCAACTTTGTGGTCAAATCCAGAACTCAAGAGAACTTTTAAGGGTCGGTCAAAGTCTAGCAGGATTAGAACAGAGATGGACATTAGAGAACAACATAATCTTGTAAAAAATTATTCTTATTGTCACACCCTTGGTCACATTAGGAAGACATATCCAAATATTGGTCATGAATTTAGTTTCCGCCACCATTGATCTTTATTGTTGTAATGAATTTTAATAAATTTATTTAGTTATATTTATAATTTTAATATTCAATAAATTTAATCACTTGATGGTAGTCTTTGAGTTTTGTTATTTGATAAGTGAAAATCAAACAAATTTTTTTATATTTATAGACCAGAACAGCCCGTTCTGATTCTACTTTTTATGTGCTAATTTTGATTTTAGAACGGTCCGTTCTGATCCATTTTTTATGTGTTATTTTTTAATCTGGAACGGCTTGTTCTTAACGTGAACAGTAAATGGTGCTAGTTGAGGAATAAATTTGCACAGTTGTTATTTGGGTAAATTTTTTTTAAAAATAGTATTATTTGTGTAAAAAAATCGTGTATCGCTAGCCCTCAAGTAATGATGTACTTCGAAACGACTAATAGAAACCTAGACTGTAAAAACTTTTAAATAATATCTTTATGGGTTAAACATTAAATATATACCTTCAATGTTTAAAAATCTTTGATATCTTCAATTTTTTAATAATTTTATGGAAAGTTTATTCTTTTAATAATTTTTCTTAATCTTTTTGCACTACTTAATTTAGAAAAATATCATTAAGAGATTAAAAAAATGGATCTTAATAGTTTAAAAATGAAATATGTACAGGACCTCCATAGACCTAAAGATTAATAATTTAAGCTATATCTCAGAGAAATGCAAACCTACAGCTAAGGGGAGAACGACTTTAGAAGATACCAAGAGACAAAATAATATATCAATAGATGAACGATATTCTCTTTAAGAATTGGGAAGCTTGTGAACCACGGTCGATTTAGTAGTGTTTAGAATAATATACATAGAAAGTTTGAAACACTTGGCTGTAAGCTCACAAGGGTTAAGTAATCTGAATATCTGACACAATTTTCACCACTATTGAACATTTATAATGACAGGAGAAACAAATTTCCTTTCATAATTTTGCAATCTACAAATTCTATCAATTAAATTACATTTATCATTGGCCTATTCCTACATTACTAAATAAACTATATCAAAATTTAGCTTACAGACTCCTGTGGAGTCACTTTCCATGACTGGTGCTAATCACTATAGTCAGATGATGTTGAAACCACTCCATCCAGATCCATGTTTTGTTCTGCATTTTCTTCTCTGTTGTCCACTCTATGAGTTTCCTCCAATTATGTAATCTTCAACATCAAGATCAATTTGCCCATCATCATCATCAACAACAACATTGTCATCTATATCCACATCTTCCTCACCATCCACACTATAGTGGCTTCCATCTAGTAGGTTCTCAGAATTGCTACTAAATCCAGCCAGATATGCATCATTATTATGCATCAGATTATTAAACTCATCACCTATTGCTTGATAAATATCATCATCTTCATAGCACGATCTCTCTGAACTACTAGCATTCAGTATAGTGGCTTCCATTTCACCTTCGTTAATCTCCTCTCTGACAAAGATACCAGCAGCTTCATCCATGATATTTGTTGTGGCATCCCTCTCACCAGCGATCACATCCACCTTGGCTGCTGATTTCTGCCTGCTTCTAACGCTCCGACAACCAAGAGGCAATGACCTATGCATGTAAGTTTGCTCTGCCAAGTGACCTATGTATGACTTTAAATTTGACCTTGATTTTTCAACAGCATATCCTGATTGTTGGAAAGAATAATTATCTGGGCCTGTAGAACAATATTGCACCTGCATATTGACTTCTAATGGAGAACTAAAGAGATGATTCTGATTTTCCTGTAGTTCATTGCTCTGTTCATGCAGGTCATGGGAAGTGAGCAAATCCTTACTATTTTTGTTGTCAAGAATAAGCAATGGGGTCTGTTTACTCTCTACTGAGGAAAATGCAGTAGTTGGCTCATTCTTTTTGCCCAAACAAGAGACAGACCGCATCCTAGAAAAGTTATCCTCTTTGGTATGTCGTTTATCAAGCTATGCTTCTGCCCACATTTGCTGCTTCTAGACGTTCCTGAAACATTGCTCATCAGAAAATCCCATGCACACACACATTTTAGTTGTTTTAAGGCCACCCACAATCAAGATAAAAGAAACTACAAATCTAAGAAAATACCTCAAGTGCAACACAAATTGAATTTCCCTCAACAAATTTCATTCTAATATTAGTAAGAAAAGCCAAAAAAATCAAAACATAAATGGGTTAAAATTACCATCAGAAGATTTCCTGCATTGTCATCAGAATCTGACCAAGGTTTAATTGAAAAGATTCGTTTCAACTGTACGGACTTAGGTGGGAAGGATGTTCGCTCATCTGAAAACCAGTGCAATTTTGGTCATGATAAATGCTTAGGGGAAAATCACTGAACACCCCCCCCCCCCCCGCCAACATAAAAAGAAAAAAAAAAATCCCTGTTGTAAGATTTTGATTATACGCAGTTTAGAACACAAATATAATTCAAACTGACATTTTCCAACAATGGCTGCCTTAAGATGAGCTTTCAATATCTCAATCAAAAGAACCATTACCAAACCATAAGCAGAAAATTATGAATCTAGTCAATCAACAGTGCAAGATGTTAAAAATCTAATCAATCAACGAACATGCATCTATAAAGTGATTCCCTAAAGAAAAGTATAATTATTTCAGATTAGAAACTTTAATATTGGAGCAATCATTCCACAGCTATACTGTTAAAATTGGCAAATCCATTAAATTTAGGGAGCACTAGTGTGGCAATCTTTTTATTAATTATAATTTTAACACAAGTAAAATGACAATTCATTGATGTTTCTTAATTCACTGCACAATTATGTGAATTTCTATCTTCCTACATTTTTTTAAGAAATGGCCAATTTGTACAAAAAGCTAAATTTTAACCCCCATGCAAAGAAGTTCAGAGAAAAGTTTCTTGTTTGTACAAAATAAGTCAACTTCAGCCCAACAGTAAGCTGCCTTGTGATCTAATGGCCAAGGATTCTGGTGGACAAAGCAGCCATTATGATAGATCCCAACAGTCAAGATTCAGAATTGAAATAGAAGAGAGATGAGAGAAGGAAGAGAATCATAGAGAAAATGTATTATTCTGCTCTGCCAAGGGAAGAAAGACCCCTTCACACTGTAAAATCAGTTTATTATCAATTACAAAATGAATGTCTCCCTAATTCTATGTACAAGTGTATTTATAAGTCTCACATAGTCCAAGTCAAAGTGAGCCCTCAATTATGCTAACTACCACCACCTAGAATAGACTTTTAATGTTGGAACCTCTTGGTTCCTAACACATTAGTTATTCAGGCAAGTCTACATACATACATCCCCAGACACCACGATGGCTAGAGCCTTGCAAATTGGCATCCCCTTTTAGTACAAATATTAAATTATATGCTCAAAACAAATTAGATTCCCGCTTAAACAACTAAAACTCTGAAAGAAAGTTTTCAACATTACTCCCTGTTCCCACATTTTTTTTCCCAAGTATCAAGTCAATTTGCAGCATATACAAATGTATATTTCATTGCTTTCAAAACGAGTTAGAAGCTGAGCATATCAGCCTAATGAAAATGTCAGAAACAAATTCTAATTTGATCACTTCAATTACCAAACTGCACAATCTTCAGCAAGCAGATATAAGATAGCAAATGCAAATAAGCAAAGTATCATATTATTTACCTCCATACAATTCAATATTTTGAATAGTTTCATAGTCAAGAGCCAGTATTGAAGAAAGTCCTTTCTTTGGTGCAGCTAACTCCACGAGTTCTAGACTTCATCTTCAATAAGTTCAATAGATTCTTCGGCAATTCTGCGAGCAATAGCTCTCTTGTTAGCAGCTTTGATCCTTGTTGCCTCTTTCTCCCTGTGTAGTTCTTCCTTCTGTCTCAGTTTCTCAGCCTACAAGAACAAATAACATAAGTGTTATTAAGTTCTACAAAACAGATCAGAGTAAATTGACAGAATCTTACAAACTAATTCCTTCTGTAAAAACTTCTCTCGTCGCTCCAGTTCACGCCTCTGTTCTCTTTGGTACCTCTCTTCTTCTTGCCGTCTTTCACGCAATAACCTTTCCTCTTCCTTCCGCCTTTCACGTTCATGCCTCTCCATCTCTTTCTTTATTTGCTCTTCTCTCTTGATGTGAGGCAAAACAATATCAGCTAAAGAACAAATATAATCATCGAAGGGGAAAATACATAGAGATTCAAACCTTTTGCCTTAGAATATCCTGTTTTTGAAGCTCTTTTCTAATTTTTTTCTCTTGCACTTCAAGTCCCCGTTGCATTCTCACCTCTTCATTCTGCAAGGAAGACATGTGAATCAGCAACCATTCTATAGAGGTTAATCATGTCGAAATCATGCACTGATACCTTTCGCTTCCTTTGAGACCTTGATAATTCCTCTGCATGGATAAGCCTTCCGTCAGAAGGCATTAGAGGGCTGTCAACCAGAGTTATAGGGTGAGCCCCACTATGAATGTTGGCAGTTACATTAACAATATTTGGAAGCAAACAAAGTCCTACGTCATTCAAACAAGATGATGAACATGAGTTTATATACACACAATTATTTCAATTAATCGAGAGGTTTTAGATGATGTCCAAAAGCAAAATTGTGAGAGCTGAACCCAAAGTGAACAATATCTTATCAATGTGGAGATACATGTACGTGCGTGGTAACCCCAGTGCATAACAAACAAATGGCTTCTTTTGTGGACTACCATCATTCTCTCCTGAAGCAGACGGCAAAAGATGATTTTGCCTACCTTGCTAAAACAACAGATTTAAACCAGGTATCTGACCTTGAATTCCATATCCATAAGGTGCAGATTCATTCCCATTGAGAAAAGAACATCCACTAGATAATAAAGTCCCAGAATGTGGAACGCCGTCAAGAGAACTATGGTGGATGGAGGGATTAGAAAATAAAGTGATTATTTGCCTGAAAAAAAAAAAGACTTCAATTAACCAGATTCATACAAAACAAGCACTAACCATATTTCTCTCATGCATAACATTGACAAAAATATGTTCTATTCTGTGTACCTTTTCAATTTCCAAAACTTTCAAGAGCTTAAGAGTAATGGCCTTAAAAATCACATTTTCAGTTATGCCACTCTATTACTTACAAGTTACAACAAAATAAAAAGAAGCCAAATACCTGTTTAGTGTTTACTAAATAGTAAATGGAGATAATAATTTGAAAACTTATAAATAGATATCATTCTCTTCAAATTAACTGATAAATGTGCCACAATTAAAATGGACTATTACCCAATCAAATCCAGATGAGGACTAACTCATTCAACTGAATTGTTAAAAATTACTAGCATGACAAGTGCATTTTAAATAAGCAACTAAATTTAAAATGTTTTCTGTGAAAGGTGTTTTTAGCTTATTTTCTTATGTATTAGTTGGCGGGTTTGCTTCGACTCTAATAAGCTATGAAAAATTTCCCATTTAAATTTTCTATAACTTTTTTTTTTCTAGCCAATACACCCCCTTCAAGTAAATGGCGGAAAGAATATAGGATAACTCTAATATTATTAAAGAATAGTAAATTTAAGTCTAAATCAATCCTACAAAATTGATATATAAAGTGATGATTGTTCTTTACTTATATATTATTTAATTGTCAAATCTCTAGTTCTAGTTGATATAAAACTTAAATTCTTCTCGAGAAACACTGTAAGATAAAACTTTAAAATTTGAAAAAAAAAACAATATCAATTTAATGGCAGCGATTGATGAGTGCAGTTTCATTGCTCGTAGTTTCTCTTGCATTAATCAACGATCACACAATTACGAACACCTTTACTATTGTTTTAATTTCAATAGGTATGAATAAAAGAATAAAAGTTCCTTTCTTACATTTGTATGTATAAGACAAATTCTAGTGTGATAAAGTGCCGCATATCTTTCACTGCGATCAATAAATTCCAACTTTTAGATATATTTTTAGACATATTTTTTTTAAAATGAATGATTAAAAAAAATTATTTTCTTTATCTTTTTCTCTTTGTTCTGTGTTTATTCCGACTTGTTCGAGTCATCAACACATGCAATTGAAAGTGATTTTCGATGATGGCATTTATTCTTTCCATCATTTTTCTTCTTCACCATCTCCTTTTTAAAAAATCAATGACAAATCCATTAACAATGGAGGAAGAATAGTATATATCATCCTTAAATATATTTTTAGTTATTATAAAATTAATGAATTTTGATTTTGGTTTTTGTAAATTTTTTTATTTATCTTTTTTAAAGTTTGTAAATATTATTTTTTATATTTCTATGAAATAGCAAAAAATTAGTTTTAATCCCTCTAAAATATATTTTTAAATTTTATCTCTCTAAAAAATTTAAAATTATTATTTTTAGTCTTAATAATTAAAATATACAAATAACATTTATTAGAAGAATCTATAAAAAAAATTTAGTAGCATCATATACTCACAAAGTATAATTGACACTCTTAGATGATTACTTCATCTTTTAATAAACACATTAAAATTTAAAAAGAATCACATAATAATAAGAACTAAAAATATAATTTCAAATTTAAAGGATAAAAAATAAAGAAAAATTTACAAGAATTAAAATCAAAATTTAATTTTTTAAGACTAAAAACATATTTAAAATGGATATAATATCGTGGTTTTGTAAAAAAAAATAAATAATAATAATACTACCACCGTTTGTGCACAAAGCGACCACATTGGTGATAATTTAAATAATTGCAACATTTCAATACATATATTCCATCATCGTCATATCTCCAATGAATAATCTGTAACACCCGTTAGCTTTTACCATAAATAACGTGTGGCTTTTCTTTATGTTAGAATCTCCATTTCAAAACTGGAACGAGGAGTGATCCAAAAAAGTGTTCAAAACCTTAGGCAGACGACCATTTTAGGATTAATTAAGTCCTGGAAATGTATATGATTTATTTTTATCAATTTCTTACAATTAAATCAACAAATTAAATTGCCAATTATGTAACAAAAAAAAAACAATTAAATTTCCAATTAAACCACCTGAAATTTGTTTGTTGTTTTCTGTCACCAAATAAGTATGTCAATGCTTAAAATCTTATATCAATGAGAAGCCACAGGACTAAATATTGCCATTTATTTACACTGGTTTTTAACCAAATTCAATGGCATATTGTGATTCATGTAGGCAATACTGTTCATGAACATGATTCACACAATATTTTAAAGTTGACAATCAAAAATTAATCTTTACATATGAAGTGTGATTTCCATTGATCAAATATTACTTTAATACATATGGAAATGGAACGCAACTAATTTCTGGAGAGAGGGGAGCCAATTCCATGTCTTTGGCTTGGGAAAGCAACAAATAGAACACTACACACAATGCCAATCCCAATAGGCAAAGCCACCAGAAGATCCTTGGCCTCCTCAGAAGGTTTTGGCACAAAGCAACTCACCACACTCCCATCAAACAATGCAACTGCCAAAAACACCAACACTGACATGAATGCATGGAAGAAATCAATGAACCTTAGCCTATACTTATCCACCACATCATCAGGAACCTTCACTGATGCATCCATAACCCACAACCCCTTCAATGAGACCACTCCATACCTCACTTTCCCCCTCTCATCCCTGAAGCTATCAGTGAAGGAGAGAAGGATGCATGAGATGCTGCAAAAGGCTAAGAGCCCTATGGTGGTGAATTTGCTTGTTGTGGTGTGGCATTGGCCTTGGTGTGTGAAGAGTGGTGAAAGAGTTTGGAATATGAGCACTGTTCCTGTTGGAAGAAGCTTGGCCAAATGTGCTGTGCCTTTGAATGCCTTTCTCATGGTTCTTTGTGTTGGTGTTTTGGGTGCTTTGTGGGGTGGTGCAAGTGTGGTTTCCAAAAGGGGTTGTTGAGTATTGATCACATGAACAATAACATCCATGAAAATATGAACAAGTGGAGAAAATCTTTTTTTTTTTTTTTATCCTCAATCTAGTTCCAAGGTTTTGTCAGTTTGTAGATATATTGAAACTTTCTTGTGCAGTGTGATCTAGCCTTTGTTAAATATATGCATTCATAAACAAGAAACTGCTGAAAAACATATAATTTACGTGCCAAAAGGAAAATGTTGGATCAGTTTTGCTTTAGGGCCGGGTTTAGGTTGTCTTAGCGTGGTTTGTTATTACCAAACTTATCATTGCTTTAGTAACTGCTATATGGAACTAAATGTTACATTGTTATTGTTCAGCTATTTATGGTAAGAAATATGTTATATATGTTTGGTGATGAGAAAAAAAAAGGTTACGTAAGTAAGAAGGTTATATTATATATATGCTTTTGTTTCATTTTGGTAATTGACCATTTGCTTTTGTTAGAGCTGTTTTTCCTTGATTCCCTTAGTTTGTGTAATAAGGTTGTTGTTCTGGTAAGGATTTTAACAGATACTTGAAAACGGTTGCTTTGTTATTCTGTGTTTCGGGGACATTGTTAAAAGAATTTCATTACTTGAATATCAGAATATTATCATGCTTGATATGATATAAAATTATTTCAAAAAGAGGAGAATCAAGTTAATGAAATATATATATTCTTTTAAAGTTAATAACTAGGGGTGGCAAAACGGGCCAGCCCGCCCCGTTTTGGCCCGCCCCGCCAATGGCCTGCCAAAAACGGGCCGGGCTGGGCCGGACTGGCCCGCCAATGAAAAACGGGCTGAAAATGCTGCCCCGCCCCGCCTAAGGATGGGTTGGCGGGCCGGCGGGCCAGCCCGTATACCCAAAAAATATTTTAAAAAATATATATTTTATATTTAAATAAAAAAAAAAGGAAAAACAATTATAAAAAAAGGAACCATTGCTTGTTACCATAAGCATAAGTACCAGGAGGAATGGTATGCTCTTCAGTAGCTGCGGCTGGAATGGAATTCATTTACGTTTTGGCTGTTGGTTGAAATTGGTTTAGGTTTTGGCTCTTTGGTGGCTGCAAATGGGCTCTATTGGGCCTGATTTTTTTATATTATATTAAGCCTATTATTTATACTAGCCCAATCACTAAATCAATAAATTACCTATGCGGGCTTGACGGGTTGGGACGGGCCATCCCGCTATTTGGCCCGCCGAGTTGGCGGGCTTGGCGGGTTGGCGGGCTGAAATGATGGGCCCGCCCCGCCAATTTTTGGTGGGCCCGCGGGCCACGGCCCATTTTGCCATCCCTATTAATAACTCGCTGAATAAGTTGTTGTATATATATATAAAGTATTATTATTATTACAACGTCTAAAAATTAACCCTAATTTTATATGTTTATATATTTGCATATAACTTATATATATATATTGTTTTGGATTGATAACACAAATAAGTAATAAAAGGAAATTTTCAAACTCACATACACTCAGTTAGCTTATAAGGTCTTAAAATATTTGCAAAAATATATACATAATTCTAAACTACTCAAATTTTACATTATTATCTTCAATATTCACATGCATCTCATTTTATTATTATGAGAGTACATACCTTACATATAGCTCTTTATATTTGCATCATATCAAAAAAATATTTACAATAATGTACATTCTTATAATCTACCTATTTCCTACATTATTTATACGATATTTACATATCAGGTTGATATAAGTTCACTATTGGGTTAACATGATTGGTTGGAGGGAGATAAAGTGACTACTAATTAACCGTCTATAACAACGGGATGATGCTGGGTTGGTGAAAAGTAAAAAGATGATAGTCCTATTCCTTGAAATGTAACTGCATTGGCAGATGCGTCCATGGCCCAACTGGTGCCCGGAAAAACTGCAGTGATGACGGAAGTGAAAGGACCCGGTAGGATTGGTAGATCCATCTATTTATTTAATTATTATATTACGTAAAACAAAAACATAAAGAGTGAGAACATTTTTCAAAGAAGTATTTATAATCATAAAGCATGCGTAACACTAGTTAATATTAACAATATATATAAATTTTGAATTACATTTGCAGTGACTAGTCAGGATAAATGAGCATTATAATATCAACCGGCGCAAGAATTTTTAATCATAACTTCTTACCCATTTAAATCCCCAAGGTCAAACCTCCAACTACAAATAATTCAAATTTTATCTTCTATAGCCATAAGGTAATATTTATCTTTAAAACGAGTCAAAGACAATTTAACAAAATTATATTATAATCAATCATAAAAATACTCACGCTAAAAAAATTTGAGAATTTATTTGAGCTTTAATTAAATAACATATGCGTAAATAAAATATATTAAGAGCACCAATTAATTAAATAACAACGACAATTACTATAAAATAATTAAACAATATAAAATATGAACATATTAATAATTATTATGGATAAAAATAATATAAATAAATAAACATAAGAGTATATAAAATTAAAGAGATAAAGTTCTCCTCCCCTTATCTTGAAATGCACACTTATTAGGATTCTATTCTCTTACGTTGCGGTTTCTCTTGTTCTCTCTTTTGTTTCTTTACCTCGTGCCTCTTACTTAAGTGAGAGTGAAGCCTATTTATAGGTAAATAAGGCTCACTGTCCACGAACTTCAGGTAACTTTCTTATCCCTTAATAAATTGTATGTACTTGAATATTCTTATCTGGTATCTGGTATCTGGTATCTAGGCTGTGCACGTAAATTCTTATCCTGTAATGATTTTTATCACAGCTGATCAGTAAATTTTGCCACGACTGCACATTCCCTGCTGTGCCATTTCCACGTAATTGCTTACGTTTAAGCCACATAAATGCTTTGCCACGTATCACTGCACCTGTACATTCACATTCCCTTTTTACTAATTGCTGCACATTTCATATATATATTCACTGCACCTGCACGTTTCTTTTTTTTTTTTTTAATATTGTTTATTTAATATAATGAGTTACGTTTAAACATTTAAAATTTTAATACTAATAATTAAAATATTCTTCTAAAAGAATTATTAAATATTTCTAAAAGTATAAAAATCATAAAAAATTTATAATAATAGTTAGTTATTAAATATTTCTATTTTAATTTCTGAAAATTTTGACAATAGAATTTTAATGTATTAAAATTATAAAATATCAAATTTATTTTCTATTTGTTCTGAAAATATAAAAATATATTATATTTAAATTTTAGGATGTTACAATTATGATTGTTAAATCAAAAAGTTGATTGATTATATAAACCCAAACTTATTTTTTTCACAATATTTTTAAAGTATTTAATACTTCATTAAATAAATTAAAGAAAATATTATAAATAAATATATCGATTATAATATTGTATAATTATTAATGTATGATTTATCTAAAATTTAGTGTGCACGATTAGTTAGTCAATACCAAAGTATAGTCTTATATTTTGATAATGGAAATTTTTTAAAGATTATTTAGAATTTCAGGAGAGTTATTTTTAATTTTTTTACATGAAGAATTTCAGGAGATTAAATTTTAGGAATTTATAAATTTAATCATATGCAAATTTTATAAAAAAAAATTAATATGAGGAATTAGGTGTACTTTATTTTCTAAATATTAAAAATATAATTAGTTTAATTTTAGAAGTAAGAATGTACAAAATAACCTAATTCATTATATCATGCATGCACCCATCACATATATTTTTGGAACCCTAATAATAAAATTTGTAGAAAGCAATAATATGGGGGCAGGAAGCATTTATTTGTTCAACTTCATTTTCATTCAAAACCAACCTAATTGGGCTTCTGTCCCAGTTCCAATTTCCATTGCAATTTCGTTCTTTTGCTGGGCTGGCCTGCGGTTTCAAGTTTTTTTGGGCTCATTTCCTTTTTTGTTATTCCACTTCAGTCATCTGACGGTTTAGAGGAGCTATACAATTTTTAATGGGCGTTTATTTCACAAAATAATATTATATTTTTAGGAATTATATTATAAGAATATTATAGTAAAAAAAGTTTTTACTTTTGATAATATTTAAAAATATATGTGGTTATATTTTAAGATTATTTTTCAAATTTATAATAATTGAAAATAAAAATTAAGTGTTAGAATGGAAGTTATAGTGAAGTTAGGAAATATATAGTTTCTTACATTCTAATGAGAATACAATTTTTCCATCTTTATCATAAAAATATAATTGACTAAAAATCATGGTATAACTACTTTTCCAAAATAAACAATCTCCAGAATTTTGTTTTCATAACAAACGAGGGAATGCAACTTTGTCAAATTCACATTTTATAAGTTTTTAATCGGTAAAACAAGCCCTTTTTGTTAAATTTATTTATGGAAGAACTTAAATTATTAAAAATAAAAATATAGATCTTATATATAGCTCACACGTGGAATGATAGCATGGTAAGTTGGTAACCCATTAATTTATATAGCCTACAAGTGGACAAAAGTCTAAGTTGCTAACAAATTGAAATAAACTAATTTGTGTTTAAATAAGTTTTAATAAAATGTTCTCTTAAAAAAAGTTTTATTAAAATGACATTTATTATACAGACAAACGTCTAAGTTACAAAAATTACGTATGTTGGCATTTATGCCACAAATAAATAGATTCATGGTTAAATTAACTTAAATTTTATCTCCGACAACGATAAAAATAAAGGACAATAGTGCCTGTAATAAATATTTTTATTCTAAGTCATTTATCTATTGTCTCAAAGTCATGTTTCCTTTAGAATATATATATATATATATATAATTAAACTTGACCCTTAAGATTGATGAGATTGGTGGTGTCAAATTATACAATATTTTTTCATTTTTGTATAATGATGTGCTTTCAGCAATAATTTGATACTTCATGACTCCAAATCGAAAAACAAAAAAAATATGGTTAAATACCTATTTTGGTCTCTTATATTTTTTTTTGTTTCAATATAATTTCACTTTTATTTTTTGTCTTAATTTAGTCTCAAATTAATTAATTAGTTTTAATTTAGTCCCAAATTAATTAATTGATTT